CATTTAATAAGATCTTGATGTTATGGATGTAACAGGTTGTCAATGATTTTTGTTGATAACGAAAAGCACGACTTTGTACGTTGTGGAATGATGAAGTGATATAGAGTTTAACGGGAAATCCCGCTACTTCTTGATAAGTGTGTTAAGGATCTGGGAAGCGATTTGAGCATCCCTGGAAAGATTACAGAGGATCCGTACAACCATAGGGACAAAATATAAGCAAAGAGAAAAAGTTTAATTAAGAAGCGAGGGACGGATGATGCATCACCCTGTGGTTGAGAGGTGGAGTAACAAAGTTAATCACAAGTGCTGTCGAGTCGCATCTTGTCGACACTGATCACATTGTAAACGTGAGCGAAGCGTTCCGACTCTTGTGTAGAGTTAAAACGGGACGGAGTAGACACGTGCAGCTTCGAATTCTAGCCACAGCGGAGGCAGTTAGTATCCATCTTCACAACCCTTCTCTGTGTGCTCAAAAACAAGTTGTGCAAACACTCAAGCTCCCATGGCGGGATTGACGACAAGTGAGCTGTCATGAATCACCGGAGCAAATGATAATTGGGGACCAATTATGAAATAAATATTGGCTACTTCAATTACTTATCCTCTTCCCCTAGTAAATTCTTATTTGTTACTAGTCGTATTTATTGTGTTGTGATGGCATGATTAGGACACACTGAAAACGAGCTTGTTTGCCTATTTGTGTCCTCAATAAGTTGTAATTATCGACAAAGGTAAGTGCGGGGAAGCTTGCACCAATGTTTCCTGTGAAATTAGATAACAGCAGTACTAAAATTGATTCAGGAAAATTTTGTTTGATGACATGACGACTATTTTGTAAGATACCAGATATCACTGCGCTTTTTGTGAATTAACACAGAACCTTCGTTTGAAAACGTAATAAGACTTGCTCCCCAGGATGAACTTTTAAGTAACAGGTAATGACCTGTGAAAGCCTCTGTACGACTGAGGGTGGGTGTCCTGGATTGAGTTATCAAATCATCCTGCTATGCGCGAAATGTCCCTTATGGCCTAGTGCATCAAACCGCCCCTGATGAGAAAGCCCCACTAACTGACTTCACGCGGTGTTCTTTTCCCACCGAAAGGTAGGCCAATTTCCAGGGAAAAAAGTGACGACTAGGAAAAAGGATTCAAGCAAAAAAGAGCATTGAGTGTATATACGCTAGACTTTTTCATCGTGACTCAGGTGAAAACAGCAAAGGATGAATTATTTATCACAATGGCAATCATTTATCAGATCTGATCTGTATTACAAAGCGACATCTATGTCGATCACCGACGTAACTGGATCAAACGCCCGTTTCAGTGTGGTGGTGGTGGTTGAGAAGCCAGACCACCAGCACACTGGCTCAAAGTTGGTACGTTCGAGCTTCAATATCATCGGCTAACTTTCTTACTTCTCTTAGTTACCTTTGACTGATGATCAGACTTCGCTGGAATCTTGATTGCTATGCATACACGGAGTTGGAGTCTATATGAGTGTCCAAAAAGGCCGTCTAGAATACCTACAATGCCAAACCCGTAGAGCGAACATTATAAAGACCGATCAAATTTGTTCGCTGGCGAAACCGTTCGCCTAAGCGAGGAAAATTCAGAAAAAGGCACAACCATGCTTAAAACACAAAGACAAGCTGTTAGGCTGTATCCACCCTTCGAAAGCATTGGCACTTATCGCGGTTGAAATAGGGCACGAGATAACTATCAGCAGCAATGCATTTCATCACAACGGAGTTAATTTATAAGCACTTCCCGCGTTTTTGTCTCTGCTCAAAAGCTATTGTTTGCTGTTTTCCACTTGTGTCATAAATCGCAACCAAGCTTCTGTAGTACTCAAACAAAGTAAAGTTTTATTATGGGCGATTTCACAAAGTTAAAGCTCATCATGCCCCATAGGATTTTTACAGAATCTTTTGAACAAATTCACAGGGAGAAAATATCAAAACTAATAATACGCATCAGCACTCACAGATGTAGAAATTTTACGTGTTCCAATACTTCATCAAGTTGCGCTTTAAATAGTTCAACCGTAGAAGCACACACTAAATCACATGGAAGAGAATTCCATGCTCTGCACACTCTGATGGCAAACGACGGACGCCGGCAATTAA